GAAGAGCCTCACGCTGCCGGCGTCCGTGGGCGACGCTGCCATGGCCGGCGGGGCTGCGGGCAGCACGGCGCGGGCTGCAGGAGGCCGGCGCAGCACCCGGCACCGCGGCGAGGGCAGGAGGGCTGCAGCGGCACCGGGAACGGGACCGCGCTGCCTCCCGGCCCCTCGGGAGCGGCACGGCCACGGGAGGCACCGGCATCCCCTCGCAGGGACGCCAGGACGTCCCCCACGGCCTCCTCCGCCCCAGCGCGGTACCTCCGCCAGCCCCCGCGCACCCTTGTCCTCCTGCACGGTCAGCGGCTCCCTGCGATCCTTCGATGCCTGTCGGGATGCGGGAGCAGCCTAGACCTGCCAGGCACACGGTCCTGCTGCCCTTTGCTCCCGGCAGGAAGTTTGTTCATGGAAATCCCTGCGGGGCCCTCTTGCTCAACGAGCAGGACGCTGGCCGCTTGGCAGCAGCGGGGAGTGATGCTGGCAAGCGCCGTGCGCGGAGCCAGCCGCGCTCGCGCGAGGCCCCGGCTCGTGCTGCTGCTTAAACTCCGCAAGGGACTCGCTTGCAGCGCTGCTAAATGGCATCGTGAGCTGGACGTTGGGGCACTGAGACAAAGCCCTGCGGTTGCCCTGCCAGGTGCCCAGTTTGCAGAGCCCTGGGCAGCTTCTTACAGCGGTTAAGAGACGTCCAGTGTTGACAGAAAGCAAGGAGGGAAGTGGGGTGCAACACAAGCCCCATAAACAGCGCAGGGGGCTCTGGCCACTTGTCTTTCCAAAGGGAGGAAAAAAAAAAAAGAAAGCAATCCTTTCCAATAGGAAATTAGAGTTCAGCCTGGGAACGGAGCCACCGCACATGGTGCAAAGCTCCCGAGACACAGGCTTTGAGGCCCCCTTCCTCGGACCACTGTCTTCCAGGTCTGCCAGAAAACAGCTCTTTCCTTTGGGGCCGTCGTCCCCATCTGCTTGCTCGGCGGGCCGGGCTCCTTCGTGGCGGCCTCCACAGACCTCCCAGGTTTCCCTCCTTGACAAGCGCCGCAGAAATCACGGCCTGGTTAAGCGGGACAGAGCTGGGCTCCGCGGGGTGCCCCGTGCCCGTGTGTCCCGTTCGTCCCCAGCTCCCGCCGTGCTCGGCAGGGAGAAGCCGGGGACCTCTGCCGTGGGCTTGGGCTCGGGTCTGCGCCCGTGAGCCTGAGCTGGGAGAGGAACGGATGGAGCAGGGGCCTGGCAGGCACACCTCGGGGAGCCTGCTCCCATTTTGGAATTCTCTAAAGGCTGGGAATTTCCCGCCACGTCCAGGGGCTCCRCAAGAGTTATGGCCGTGGAAGGAATATTTAAACACAGTGCCCTGATATCTCTTGAGTTGCAGGATTTGCCACGGGGAGC